TTAATTTAATTTTGGATGTTTTAAAAAATTTTCTGCTCAAGCACATTTTTTGCTTATTAAAATAATAATAAGCAAACGAACTAATTAAAAAACAAGAGTAAATTTAAAAAGATGAAAAAAAAAAAAATCTGTATCAATTGAATTATTATAGATTTGTGTATGGCCCAAAATCTCTTGATGTAATCGTGGTTTAATGAATAATTTGAAACACATATATCGCAGATGCGCTTGACATAATCGAAAATGTGTGCACAAAAATGCTAATATTTAATGTTTTAATTACCACAAGAGCAATGGGTCTCCCAAGTTTAGAGATATTGCGAACTAATTGAATTATACTCTACTTGTAAACCATCTGTGAGTCTGCATAATCTTTTATAAAATTCTATATGCTATATTCAAAAAATTGTGTCACATTTTATTATACATGCCCAACTCAGTAACCACTTAAAAATATTCGATCTTTTACGTCTTTGGTGCTTGGTCATTGGACATTATCCTCTTCTCCACGGACGAAAATATTCTCCTCTAGGATACCAGGACTTGTAAAATAAGTAGTATACGCACCACAGACGAAAATAAAAAAGGCCCTATTGGTACGCAAAATAAAATATAATATTATTTTTTACAGTTTTTTATTTTCTATTAAAAAAACCTCACGGGTCATTAATTTTTTTCTTTTATATTTTGATTATAATTCAGACAAGTTGGAGGTACTCGAGCGATGATGTTAATAAAGTGCGTGGTATGAATTTAATTAAACTATCTATTTAAAAGTAAAAGTTGTTGAACTTTTTCTCAGTTCACACATGAGTAACGTTATAATTCAAGCATGAATCTAATTTTAAAAGAGGACAACTGTACTGTGCGTTAAATATTGAAATTACTTTTTATTTGCATAAATATTAAAAGGAACAATCACATACGCAATAAACTTGCATGAAGTATAACTAAAATATTCACTTTCTATTACCGAAGTGAACGAAAATTTATAAAACGATGGAACTCTTGAGTACAAATGAATTTTATTTTTAATAAATGGTACTTTTAATATTGTTTCATTGTTATGAACAATTTTCATTACGAATAATAAATATTAACAAACTATTACTAACGATTTTAAAATTAATGTAATTTTTTTATCCAGTCAAGTTTAAATTAATATCAAGTCCAATTTATGATCACTTTACACATGACATATCAGATATATATATAAGATATCGTTTTTACTGTACTATTAAACACAATTGCCTCAGCTAAATATCAGCGTGCGTGTCTAATCTATATCATGTGAATTTTAATCATACACGATGACGCTTAGTATAACAATAATACACTTTGTATCAAATAATTATACCGTCTCTTGTCTAAATTCAATTATGGAACTAAGAAATCAATAGAAATGAGAGATGTAAAAACATATTTAATGGTTTAATTAATATATGACATTGATCGAGGTAACTTTTTTTTTACTTTGCAATCATACTTCATGATTCATTAAAACTGATGTTTTATTAAAAAGCATTTGTTTTTTCTTCTATTTTACCACGCAATCCATCGATTAAATACGACACGCTAACAAAAAAACTTTAAAATATTGTAATTTATTTATTGCGTTGGTTGTAATAGCACTAAGGGGATACAGGAATACTTTTTTATTGCTTGTACAGTAATAAAAATGTATATACATATGTTAAAACTAATTCTATAAATTTGTCAATTTAAAGAAAAAAAAAAGATATTGAATTTTAGTGCGCTAAGTGTTTAATATGTAAGTACAGTTGGATGAATAAACCTTTGTAGGAAAGTAGTTGGGAAACCCTGAATCGTTAGAGTCGTAGCGTATAGCATCACATAGATTAACAATTATTATAAGCGGCCGATATTTGCGATAATCGATGTCGAATTTTATGAATATCCAATGTGTAATAATGGAGCAAAAAAAAAATACAAGTAGACACTATATATGTGTATTAGCAAAAGTCCAGATACTGCGATAAATGCAGCTTTTCATGGGGAAACTCGGTACGCTCATTAGCGCAGGAACAATTTTAAAAAAATACTAGAGACTTTGATCATCCTTGTGAGATGAGAAAAAAAAAAAGAAAAAAAAAATGCAAGTAAAAAATACGCGTCTCTATCCTAAATAGGGTATATCATTAGTTAACTAAGTCTGTCGATTGGACTTGTCTAGTCCTTAAATATTATTTTAGTACTTCGTTTTTAATGGATTGCCCATAATCTTACTCCCAAGTTTTGAATTCTATATTCTTGTTCCATCAAAAATGACATTTTTTCAATTGACCAATCGATGGATACTCCGAAACGATGCGATGTGAGTGCAATTTAATTATCTTTTCATATCCGCACTTTGGTTATCTACTTGAGACTCGAGTCTTGAAGAAAAAGCTTTCTATCTGCACACATTTTCAAAGTCGTATAACACATTAAGTTTCTTACAAAGAAAAAAAAAAAAAAAAAAAAAAAAATTGAAACGCCGCGCGATAATTAGCGCGGCTAGAAGAATTTAATTGTCGGGAACAGTTGGGAGGATGATTAACGAGGAGGCGGATGATGAATTGTCTTTTGAAATTTATACATTTACGTTAAAACGACAGGGGTACCCCCTTGATTGGGGTGTATTAATCATCATCTGGCGCGTGGGGGGGTGCCACACTTTTTCTCTGCGTTTCGATTTTGAATCTCGTGTGGGGAGGGTTAACCGGTGCAATTGTAACATTAAGGAGCAGTGCCAATGGTAACCTATGCTCATGCATTTTTCGGCAACTTCGGCGGCCTTCTCGAACTGCCCGGACTTTTTGAGCGCCTCGCTGAGCCCCAGGAGAGTCCAGAGGAAATTGTCGTCCCCGTGCTCGGTCGACAACTCGTAGTAGTGTATTCCCTTGAGGTACTGTTGCAACGTCGTGAACCGCCTTCCCCACTCGCGGTACAATACCTGGCCCATGAACTGTTTTTTTTCCTCTTCCGCTATTTTCGCCATTTTTTTTTTTTTTTTTTTTATTTTTATTCATTAGGGTACAGTACAAAGAGCGGATGGTCGTTTTGTGGCAGACGCTGTAGTTTTTTAAAATAGTTTTAGTTTTAAACTCTCTTTATTGCTTTATTTATTTGGTTTTTTTTTTTTTTTTCTTTTTCAATTGGTAAACTTGGGAGGTTAGAATTTCACTGGAATTTCGTATCTGTTGGGCTTTTGCGATTTTTTTTTGTTTCACATTGTTTGTTTACTTTATCTCTTCAGAGTACGCGCGCACACATTGTCGCCGATAGCGAATTTTTATTGAACGGACCATGGGTGGGTCGTGAAGATTACGAGGTGATTTGACGATACGGCAAGTCAGTGCGACAAAATGAGGCGATTGGGGGGGGGGGGGGGGTCGATCGATGCGCGTGAAAGTAGCTCCCGGTATATATATATATTGCAAGGTTTTTTTCCCCCTCCCTCTATTCCTTCCGTTATTGCGCTTTGGGAAAACGGGCGGAGAAATCACCCTCCGTGACTATAAAATTGTACGACCGAAAGTGCACTGTGAAAACACGATTTTTCCATACGTATACGTGTGTTTGTACAATGTGAGGGAGTAAACAACGTTTTTATTCATTTCCAATTTGTGCTGTTTCAGAAGCGCGAGGTGGCGAGAATCGCATGATGCGGTGATGGCGCTGCTGTACAGGTTCGCCCAGCTGCCCGATCGGAGCGGCACGCGAGTCTTTTCGTTCGTCGTGACCAGAAGCGTCGTGCGCGACCCCGAGCGCGACGTCACCAGCAAGGAGCTCGTGTGCGGCTTTCAAAAATGGGCCGTCGCCTTCTCCAGGGGCGAAAAGGTAAAGTTACCATAAAAACGTCCATATGTGTGACCATTTTTTTTTTTTTTCCAATAAACATTTAGCTGATTCACGAAGGGTCCGTGAGATCAATTGATTTCTAATTTTTACTTGTTTTCTTTTGTCTCTCTCTTCCCAAATGCTCAAGGACGTGAGTCGTGTATCGTATAACAATTACATATACTATGCAAGCGTATATTATTAGAGACTTGAAGAGCATTGTAGACGAAATATTTTTTTTCTCTATTTTTTCACACCCTTTTCTTACATGTGTCTCTGCTCTTGCATTTTTTCACCGACCTGTTGCTACACTGTATACTTGAAAATCTTTATTTCACCTTTGCATACTGTATCATATACTATATATATATATTAATCTTCTACGTCACTAGTGAAAAATATTACGTCTTGAAGAAATGGCACATTTTTTACCATTTCATTTGAAACGTATTCCTATATGTCACGATGTAATATTCCTCTGTACTGTCGTCGTTTCTTCAAACAGTTTGACGATCGATAAAACGATGCGCTACAAAGACTCTGTCGCTACATGTCTGAAGGAACGACGTAACTATTATATATACTTACTGCAACTGGGTTTTTCATGAAACTTTTTTCCACTTTCCCTTCAACAATCCATAGATAATACAAGCACGTGCTCTACTTTTTGCATTAATACACCTATCGATTTTGCGTAGATAAAGTACCAAAAGCATCGTGACACTCGCACTTAACGAAATAAATTAAATTTCTGGTATGGGCTCTTACTCGAGTCTGTCTTGCATAAACCCGTAAGTCTAAAAATGATTGCCCTATATTATATGCATACGTATACCTCAATTGCATGGTCGATTCTCTTTTGTGCACTTGTAATGCGAAAATTCTCTCTTTCCCCTGTCTCTCTGGCTTTTTCTCTCTTTCTCTATATAACAACTCACGAGTCTCCGATGATGCAGACAAACCACCTTAGCCTGACTTGCATAGCGATACCGGAATGTGCTAGAAATTAGTTGATTAATGAAAAGTAAATAAAAAACAAAATGAAAATTAACATTCGCTACTGTGCGCAGAAGCTATGTACCTACGCGCACACAGCGGAGAAGCAAAGAAAGAGAAGCCAGTGTCGAGCGACGATGAGCGGAGGTAAAAAACAGAGGGCCAGAAAGTGTAGATGGAAAAAAGGTCGTCGTGAAAAGCCCCAGGAGCTTTATATCTGGAGTTTGTTCGTCTCCTCGCGGACCCCCTCTGCTCATTGGTCTCACCAACCGCAGATTCGGGGTTGGAGGAACGAACAAGTGTCCAATGAAAAAAAAAAAATAAATAATAAAGAGTGAAAAAAAAAAGAAAATCTAACTACTGCCGCGCTTCTGGTCCCTGGGGGTGTGCCCCTGTCCCCTCTGTTTTTGTGTTGCAGCAGAAGCGCGGTAGAAACAAACGTTCTGTCTCTGATCGGCAGGTGCTCGGGGTCTACCTGGTCTGGCGGGGCGCGGCCCCGGGGGTGCGCGTCTACGTCGACTTCACCTTCACTTTGCTGAATCGCGAGCACTTCTCCGTCAACGAGGGCTTCAGCGGCAAGCGCGTCAAGTTCACCTACGACGCGCCCGCCCAGGGCAATCGCAAGTACATATCCGTCTCTGAGCTCTACAGTAGGAACTTTGCCGATCCCAATGGCGAGTTCCAGCTCGAGCTCTCCATGTCCAATGTTCGCACCATTTTTACCACCGAGGTTGGTTTCACTCATCAATTTTACAACGCCATTTTACAGTCCCCCGTGAGTTTCAACTTCGTGATGGTATACAGCAATCATCTACACCAATTTTACCTTTTTTGTTTTTTTTTTTGTTTTTTTTTTTTTTTTTCTGCCTATACCCTGTGCCATTTTACATACGCGTATATTAAACACCAATAAATATTGTGCAATATAACTGCGGGGCTCAATCAAATTTTGTTTGATGGTTTTTATGACTGCAGTTACCTTTCCCACGTTTATACGTTTTTTTATGCGATCATGTATAAGAAAATAATCGAGTTTGGAGTAAAACTATCGTGTATGTGGTCTTTTTGAAATTTGTTTATTGCGATAAAACGTTCCCAACGGATTCGCGTTGAAAGTAAAGAGCAAAAAATTGATGATCATGTAGACGCGTTTTTTCCAAAATTAAAGCGTGGAACAATGGCTCGGCAAAATAGTCCTGTGGAGCTTGAAATAGGGGCTGCCGAGCTCTTGGGCAAACATTTGACTCGCTCCCGGGAACCCTTTGTGGAGGGAACATAAATGCCGAGACACGACCTTTGCTCCGATCTGTATATGTACGTATATACGTACGGCGTATTTGCTCAAGAGCCCTTTGACGGGGACGCCGGCTTTGAAAAATTCACGTTTATTTCGGCGCCGCTATTGTCATCTGTCAATCGCAAACGAAAATCAATATAGATTTTTTTTATTCAGATCTGATCAATTTTTATTAACTAATTGGTACAAAGCCAACCTGAATGTACCCCACTTTTTATGATTTATTAATTAAAATCATCGTGGCTTTTTTTTTTAATCCAATACTGACAAAGCGTATACAATTGCACTGCGCAGTCGTAAGTTTTCAAATTAATAATACCTTCAAAAACACAAAGTATAGGCATATCTTGAAACTCCAATAATGGCAAATTTCACCCCAGTTGACACACTACGAAGAATTCAATTTGTCGTGGGTAAAAAAAAAAAAAAAAAAAAAAATAAACTAACAAAATGAGCAAAAGTGCATTATCCGAAAGTCACGCGAGAGAAACCACTGATACGTATGCCTCTCGACTCACAATGACTCGACCACACGCAGGTGCGGATGCCGTCGGGGGTGTTCACGGCCGGTCAGTCGAAGCCGAGCAAACTCGAGACGAGTTACTTCACGTTCGGTGGCTTCGATTGGAACGTGGTGGTGTACCCGTCGGGCAACAAGGAAGCCGAGGTCGGCCGGTCAACCGGTGAGAGCGGCCGTTTGAGCGTGTACCTGGTGCGACTGACGGGTTTCGACCACCGGTGCCGGGTGCGGTACATGGTGAGCCTCGGCGAGGGCGAGCGGCGCATCGAGTCGGGCCCCATAGACGACCTCTCCGACGACGAGGGCAGGGGCTTCGGCTGGCAGCCCCGGGTCCGCTGGCCCGACGTCGCCCACAAGAACGTGCTCACCGTGAGCCTCGAGATGTTCGAGGCCCGCACGATGTCCGAGGTCACGGTGCAGGCCCTCGGACCCGGCCTCCTACCCGCCAGTCCTTGCTACGACCGCGACAAGCAAGCCTGGGCCATACGCGCCGATCTACACTCGGACACCGTCAGGCTACACCTCGTCTACAAGGACATACACAACGTGCCGCGCAACCACCTCAGGTACACACCCTTGTACACAATATGTTTATTATCATGTTCATCGCAATTATACTCCCTAGCATATTATCCACTTGCCCACAACTATATACGAAATTTCAATCCGATGTGTATGTATATACATTTTGCCGTTTCGAGCCATACAATGACGATGAAACTGCATAGGTACATGAGCTGGACGGCTTACCTCATACGAGGCGAGGAGCCGCACACGGAAGTGGTGAGCCTACCGGGGGCCCCGTTCAGCCGGTACTACGCCCAAGAGGCGGCCGACGAGGGAATAATCATGGAAACGTCGCTGGGGGTGCACGAGGTCGAGAACGAGCACTGTCCCTTCGTGACGGAAAAGGGCCAGATTAGGGTGCGCATCGAGTGGAACGAGTCGCACTTGCTCTTCCAGGCCACCTATCACAAGTACGACGACGTCTGCCGGGTGCACAACCAACAGATGCGCCGCGAGATAGCCGCCCTCCAGGCCGAGAACTACAGCCTCGAGAGACAGATATTCAGCTACCAGAAGAGCTTGGCCTACGCCCAGGCCCAGACCCAGCAATCGGTGCGTTCTTAATCAATACTCGCGACTATTGGAGCTTCGTGGTGGCTTTGTATTTTTTTTTAATACAATACGTCTTTGTTGGTGTAGCCGACGCACTCGGTGGTCGGGCCACCGGTCCCGGGAGGCCAGCAGCCCCAGCAGAGCCAGCAGCAACCGACCCCGGGTCACCTCGAGCGGTCCGCGTCCACGGACACCGAGTACGCCTGACGGGTGGGGCGCGTCCTCGGCCAACCGCACCACCACCAGGGCTCCACCGCGCGACGACAATTACCCCCGAGTCCCCAGCAGCAGCGTTATTACCACCACAATAGGCTGGGATTGTTCGACGCCGATCCGCGGGTGCACGAGAACCTCGTCAACATGATGGACCGTAGGCTGAGCAACGTGCAGATGATGGCCCGTGACTCGCGCTCCAACTCGGCCCACAGCCAAACGAGCGGGGCCACGGACCAGGGGGCGCCACCGGCTTTCCACGGGCACCCGTACCGGCAGACCGGCAACGGGTACTACTACTCCACCTCCTCCTTGGGGTACGGCAAGAGGCGCAGGACCACGTTTTGGGAGACCCTGACGGGGCTGGTTTGCTCGCTGGGGGCTCTGGCGACCAGGGCGGCCAAGATGGCGGCGCGAAAAGCCGAGCCGCTCTGAAGCCACGGCCCGGAGGGATTTGGGGCGCAAAAAAGTTGCACCGTGGTTGGTTCTCTTTTTCTTCTACTCTCTTACTCTGTTCGTTTTCGGTGCTTCGAAAGTGTACACTTCTACGGGGTTTTTCAAAATTTCCTTCTACTTTGCAAAGTCGAGGCTCTTACTTCGTACTCTCGATGATATATGTATAGGTATTGTACTTTGTCGATCGTATAACTGTCCAAATGGGTTTTCGAGCGCGAAAGTAACAACATCCATCAAAAGTTCGGGGAAAAAGTTATATATGTATTATGTATATTTGCGAGAGCACCAGCAAGTTAGGAGCAATTTTCTTGGTACAGCAGAGAGCGAGTATCGTATATTACAGGGTGGATGGCCATGTTACTAAAGGATTACGATGTGATTGTACAAATTATTGGGATGATGCAAATAATTTATTGGTGTAAACTTCAGTCGGTAAAATTCTATTTTTACGAAAAAAACAAAACAAAAAAAAAACAAATGATTTTCAAGTTAGCTATTTTACGCATATTAAATTTAAAACTTTTTCAACCTTTGAATTAGTGATCGTTTATGGAGTTTGACGCCTCAGAAACAAGCACTGACACGGACTACCTGCATGGGAGTTCAAACCGCCGTAAATCATCGATGTTGTTGATTTTAATTTACAGTTAACATGTTTAAAATTATACATACATTCGATTTTTTAATACATTGAAAAATTGCATATTTCTTCAAAAAATTTTGTACGACCCTGTAAAACAGGTAGGGGCCATCTACCCTGTAACGGTGCATGTAAAATATATTGTCGTGCGAGGTATGAATGTGGAAAATGAGACTTGTGCGTTTGTTAATGCTGATTTTTCGCTGATCAGAGGAAATTCGGCAAAATATGGGATGTATGACCAAGAAGACGTCAGGGCGAGTACCTGTGAGTTGTTCGATAATGATTTAAAGTAAAAAAAATGTTTTTTTTTAATTTTCAAGAAAAAACTAAATAAATACGTAATTGCATTTATGGCGTGAATGGAAAATATTGAAATAACGCGAGGTACATTATACCTATTCCTATTTGAGGAAAAGGTAAACAAATTTCTTGGTTGTCAGAGTTTATTTCTCCAAGAGTTGAAGAACAAGAGCTTTGTTAACTGATAAAAAAAAATATATATACANTCGTGGGCCACACCACTGCCAGTATTTTCCACTTTTTTAGCCGATCCGTGAAACTCCACAGCTGATGTCTGATCCCTTAAACCGGCAATATTTTCGCTCGTCAGACCAGCGCCAGGCATCACGATTATTTTACCGTCCGACCGGTCCACCAATGTTTTAATGAGATCGGAGCCCTCGATTGCCGAATTTTTCTGACCTGATGTCAAAATCCTCTTAAATCCGAGCTTTATAAGGTTTTCCATGGCTAAAATCGGATCGACCACTTCGTCGAAGGCTCGATGAAAAGTGACCGGTAGTGGACCGGCTGCTTCGACTATTTTACGGCACAAAACTACGTCCAACAGGTTGTCACTCGTCAGAGCTCCAAAAACAAAACCATCGACACCAGCACCTTTGAACTCGTGCAGATCGATCAGCATAGCGTCTACAATGAGAGAATACAAAAAATAAATGAAGGTGTACGAATCGGCGAGATACATTGGGCAATCGGGCTGGTTACCGATTTCTTCTTGCGTGTAAACAAAGTTTCCACCTCTAACGCGTAGCATTGCAAAAATTGGGACGGATGAAATGCGTTTGGCCATCGTCAGCAAACCGAGACTTGGAGTGAGGCCACCTTCTGACAAGGCACTGCATAGCTCTAAACGATTAGCTCCACCATCTATTGCGTTTCTGATTGACGTAATACTATCAACACATATTTCCAACTGGGAAAAAAACAGCAGCTAGCATTACTGAATCAGCAGAAAACTGCAATTTTTTCTGTTTAAAAGCTGTGGAGGATTCAGTCAACAAGAAGCTAATTATATTAGTTATTAAGGAGGCGTTGCCTCTTTATTGACTAAGGTGCTAATGTAAAGAATGGCAGCTCAAAAGAGGCGAGGTTGTCCAGTCCCGAACATCAGGTAAATTCATACATTTATTTTTGGCTAGAATTTGTTCCCGAGCCTTGCAGCTATAAGTACTAAGGCCTGTTTTAAACTCTTTTTTTTCCGTTATGTAAAATTCTTAACTCAAAAACTTATGGAATACAGTTTTGAATTGATGTATGGTGGCGAAACAGACGATTTTTTGAATTGAAAATGTGAATTGCATGAAAATAATAATAACGGATTATTTTAATTCTTTAAAATTTTTTTTTCCTCTTTAGTCATATCCATACGAAACCTTTTCAGTTTACCTCTTTTCGGATTCGAAGACATTTTTAAGTAGGTGAGTAGTAGGCATGAAAAATACAACATCCTCTTGCAAAATTTATAACCAAAATTAGATATAAAAAATATAGCTTTTGTGGTTTCATAATAAAAAAACACGACTTCGTTCAAGAGTAATCGTGCTATAAACTATTATTTTAATAATTTCATATTGATATCATTATTTATGTATTGTTTGACATCAAAAAATTTAAATTTTGGTTCACCGTAGCAAGATCGTATTTTTGTGTAATTTTGACTGTACGCTTAATGTTTTTAATTTCTATTGACGTACTTCATAATTATCCAACGACGTATGCTGACGAAAATTTCTATGAGAACAGATATATAAAACGAAAAGCGAAGATACCTATCATTTTCCATACTTGTGATCAATAATTGTTTCTGTCCTTCAAACGTGTTGAATATAGCTTTCGTAGTGGATAAAAATGATGGTTCATTGCAATCCTTGTCTATATTCTTTTGTCTGAATTTACAGAGAAAGAAGGGGGGAAAATTTTTTCTCTGCAGTAAAAACTTTTTGAGAAAAACATTTAAAATTTATATGTTTAAACTTTACAAGCTTAGAGAAAAAATGGGAAAAATTGTGTAACTTACCTAGAGATTATTTTCCAAATCAAAATCAAAAAATAAATCGATAAACGTGTAATATCATTAAAATTTCACAAGTTCTAGAAGATTTGAGCTCAACGGGAGGAAGTAACGTAAAATAAAAAAATGAAGATTATAGAAAAAATCAAACGAAATCGTAAAACCATGAAACAAGGTTTGTTTTTCAGCATTTTAAAAATTTATTAGTAAATTACATAAAAACTTTTATGAAAATAATGGGACTAAAAAATAAAAGAAAAAAAAAAGTTATGTGCCAATTTGAAAAATTTTCAATGCTTTTATAATAAATCATATTCTGTATACAAAATTTTAGTTAAATTTAAATAGAAGTATTACAGGATAAAAGTAATTTAAAAATATTTTACAACACAAAAATTATCAAACGTACTTGGACCATTGATTCTTTTAACCATTATAATTGAAATTGAAATTCTGGATNAAAAAAAAAAAAAAAAATCTCGAAATTTAATAAGCAATATAAATAACATAATCCAACACCCTTAAAAGAACACACTAAAATTTGATTTTGTAAATTGTTGAATTATTTTTTGTTAAAAAAAAATTATTGTCACGAAATTTTCAAATAAATCGTTTTTAGGTCTGATTCTCTCGAACTTTGGTTCGAGATGTACAATATGTATATATACTGCTCAATTTACCCTCACAGTAAAGGTAGGTACTGGCTACGCGATTTAAAATTGTAGCACAACTCGTTGATGATTTTTATCAACCAAACATTATTCCCAAAATTCTAAAATGATTCTTTTTTTATTCAAGTAATAATATACCTTTTGAACTTACTATCGGCAAATCGTGAGATGATAATCTTTCTTCCACAGCTGTACTGCTTTTATCCGTGGACGGATTGTCGTGAAACTTTCTTTTTTTCGACCTCAATGATCGCGATGTGGCGACTTTGCCTCTTTTCGAATTTGAAGACATTGTTTAGTAAGTCGATTAGTACTCAGGTAAATCTATGAATACACTAAGACAGTACTGTACAAATAAAACACATCTGTAAGAGATATAATACACATATACGTATGACAAATACAGTAACAACGTAACAGTATATAGTTCAATAGTGATAATGGATGTGACGCGTGCTCACAGCTGATTAAGAAGTATATATAGTGAGCATAGAGTGCGGACCCCATCCCATGGCCCGTGCACGTTTAGTGCTGCTCCCACTTTTTGGTTATGGCCAATGTAAATTTCCATGGGAGAGAGAATTAGTTTGAACGGTGCCCACCATCATCAATGAAGTAGTTGCTGCCATAAGATATAACTGAGTTAACAATTGTTAAAAAGTGGGGCTGACTGTTGTATACGCAGAGCCCATACGTTTCTGGCAAAAGTTGCAACCAATCCTGTAAAAAAAATATAAGCCATTCGGGGCGTTCAGATCATGCGCACGAGGCGATCTTGCTTTGAATCCTTCGCGCGCTAATCAATAACTTCTTGAACGCTCGGAGTTTACTATATAAATGTGAAACTTTTTACTCAATTTACATATTTGCCTATTGTGTTGCCACAAAGTAAAAAAATTTTAAAACTGTAGCTGCAGTTGTCGCAAGTCTTAATAAGCAAACACGTCTGTATTTAACATTTATCATACGTTCATTGTTTTATCGTTGTGTGATACAACCGATGTGAAAATAAATAATTTTTAAAAACCGTCCTAAAGTACTTTAACTATTATTAGACAAATTTAACAATAATTAAGTAAAATTATCTCGAATAGTTATACATAACAAAAGTTAAAGTTCAATTCACCATAACAAGATTGTACCTTTGAGTGGAACTTTGACACCACGTATAGAGTCTTTGACTTTAGTTGACGTACCTCGTAATTTTCTTATGACTTATGTCGACGAGAATCACTAGGAATGGAGGTATAGAAAAAAAAAGTAAAATTATCCATCATTCATCATTTTTTGTATTCATCGTGGCCAATTGTTTCCTTACTTCCAATATGTAGAATTCAGCTTACGTAGAGCTAACAAAAATTATAGTTTGTTGCAATCCTTCTCTGTCTATATTATTTCGAGTGAATTTACAGAGAAAGAAGGGGGGAAAATTTTTTCTCTGCAGTAAAAACCTTTTTATTATTATAGTGTAGAATCTTTAAGTATTTTTATGCCCGAAGACAAATGCAAAGTCGACTCAATGCATAAGATGTAATTTTGCTTCGACAAAAGGTACTTTGTCTATAAGCCTTTAATGGAAGGTGCAAACACGTTCTCTTCGATTCTGCGTTTTTTCCTATACCTTGGATATAAAAACGTTGTTGGGCTGATTGATGGTCTCGCGTTGCGTACATCACTTTTTTTCCTCTCGTTCCAGCTTGAGTACGACAAAGATAGTTGCATGTAAAGTGTAGAGCGAGCGCTAGAAAATTATGGTGTAACGACGCGCGTAACATTGTTCTAGCGACGATACGTGGTTTTCTTTACACGGAAGTAATTTTTTCTTGACTCTGCGTTCGACACATAGATATATAAATACCACCACTGACGTGGCTCATGTTCGATGTTACTTTTTTTTTACAATAAAAAAAAAAAAAATTAGTTGTCGATGCATAAAATGAAAAGATTGGTCAATGCAAAACACTGCAATATAATTAATTATTTTACATCTGTACTTTTTTATTGAACATGACAGAGTATAAGTATTAGCTCATTTTTAAGAAAATTTTTTCGTAACCTTTATAAGAAAAGCAAAATTCAACATATAAATGCCTAAATATCAAATCTAACATATTGAATAATCCCTTGGGCCCAAGCATATCACCAGTGGCGATGGGGCTTATAAGAAGAAATCAACCATTTAATTTTGATATACTTGTAAAATATACATTCATATTTAACGAATAGAAATACATTTGATAGTACATTAATTATCTTATGCAGAGGCGTTAAGAACATTAAGAACATTGGTCTTTGAGACAATTTTATTTTTTCAGTATCCCGTGGAGTTCCACAAAATACTTGGTACCTTGAAATAACAAGAATGTACGTACATTAGAGTTAGACTATAAAAAATGGAACACTCAAAAAAATAAAGAAAGTATTAAATTGTTATACATATAGGTATTTATTTAGTTTGCAATAATTGATCCGGCAAATGGACTTTTACAGAAGTACTAAATTGTGTTTTTCGTCTAGTTTCTTACTATTAACGTTTAATATTTAGTAATCATATCCTTTTCATTAAACAGAATTATGTAAAAGATTAAAAGTTGAATACGATATTCTAACGATCTGAAAAAAATTAATGATTTTTAGATGCAAATCTTTAAAAAAAATTTACGTTTATTATATGTCTACTAACATTAGTGAACGAGTCCAGTATCAAGCGAACGAAAGGTCCGTACGATATTGTGATGGGCTTCGATGACAGTAGATTCATTAATGTCAAATCTTTTTGTAGTTCAATCGACAAGGGGGTGTAGTTGATACTAAATATCGTATAGTTTATTTTTTTGCTCTAAAATCGAAAAAATTTCAGATATAAAAAAAAAATTAATATACATATATACATAAGTCATGTAAAGTCGTGAGGATAAGAAAAAATAATTAAATCACCTGAAGATGAACTTCATTCCCAAAGTAGCAGTAAACAAAAAGCTGTCCCAACATACAAATCAGGTAAAGCAAATACGTGCAAGATTCGACAACATTAGTCATATGAAGCGATAACTGATAAACACTAATGGAAATTTCAATTGCACTAACGCAAAACTGGCTAATGATAATTTCGCTAAAGACGGTACAAACTGATTTGGATATTCTGCCGTTAATTAATACAAAAACCACATGATTATTTTAAACTTTTCAAGACACTCTACTAAAAAACAATTGTAATAAACTCTACTTACTCGTAAATATTGACGTGGTGGTTGACACTCTGAGCCAGTAAAAGTTTCTCGATTCTTCGAGCTTTTTCCCACGAATCCGTTTCTCCAATCAATTCGGGAAATCTTGTAAGTCTGAATTGCAGCAAATCAAGTTGGGCACAAACGTGCAACATAAATCCAATTATTAGGGCGTCCGTGATTATACTGATAGCCGCAAATATCGCAGCGTCAATAGCGTGATGAACAAAAGTTAGCCAGTAAAACAGAGGATTGGAGATGTCATAGGGTAAAAGCACTTTGTAGGGCAACTCTTGATTCTCAGTGTCTTTGAAAAGTGGTGCGATAACCAAAAATATACCTGTGATCTCGCATAGGCACAAAAGTGATATTGCGACTTTTCTAATTAAATGATGAAAAGAAGAATAATAAATAAAAAAAAAAGAATGAGATTTATAGGGGGACAACATGAAATGGTTTCTCGGATATTAAGCGCTTTCGAAATAAAAATTTGTATTTCACATACCTGCAGTAATACTCGCATCGTTTTTCTATATTTTTTTCAAAGCAATCATGGAACAAGCAGCAGTCTTGTTTAAACATTTCCATCAGACTAATTACTTGCTTTTGATTCAGCAAAATTCGGATAGCTTTGAAGCAAGTTAAATTCGTTGACAAAAGAATGAAGAAGGTGTCGTTGAAGCTCTTGAAATCATGTCTAACAAAAACTATTTGCGCCAATTGAGATAATCCTAAGCTGTACATTAGGAAAATGACAAAACAAGAGTACATTTTGTACAAGAGTTTCGAAGTTTTCGACGACCAGTGCGAAGGACACCAGACACCTGTTATTGATAAAATGGCAAAATGTGTCGATAACATCTTTATATCGTTAATTTAAAAATAATTCGATATTTATTGGTCAACTTTTTTCTGTAAAATATTGTGTTTTGTTGCAGTTTTACTGAAAAAAAATATTGCTCGGTAAAAAAAACTTGATATTACATACGAGATCATTGACGTTTTGTTGTAGACTATCAAAGTCTTGAAAAACACATTGGTAGGTTTGTCACATTGCATATTTCCATTTCCATCTACTATAATTTTCTTAAATATTTTATGAGCGCTTATCCTTCTCCATAATTTCGCTCAACTTACAGACAAGCCAGCAGATGGCATAGTCGTTTGACTGTGAAGTCGCGAGAAGCTTTTGCTCTTCAGTGTACGCAAAAAGTATAGTCATCAGTATTGCCTAGCACTGAAGTGTTTTCTACGACGATATTTGAAATTATACAAGTAAACTCTAGTATAATTTCGAAAGTATACTTGATAAGAAGATCGTATTTTAAAGTCTATCCTATTTGTAGTAGAGATGTTATAGCTCAGACAGTAATAATTAATATTTTAAAATGATGTATTTCGTTCTTTGTTAAAAAATTGTGTATCTAATAATTGTTACCAGCAGTTTTTAATATAACTATCTACAGTCGTTAGTTATTTAAGGTAATAAAAATATTTTTCATAAGAATGTTTGAAGGAAAATGTAGTGGTCCTCAAAATAATTTTCTACTAATGTAAAATTGATAATACCACCCATCAATCTGACTTATTAAACTATTTTCAAACTTCATAGAAAGCATCATAACATTATGCAGCTTTATCTGGTTTGTATATAATTTTAATTGAATGTTTAGCTACTCACGTAGAGTAACTATTTATAATCAGGACACATTCCAACTTAAATTTATTTTTATTAATTTAGATTTGGTCTTTCGTACTGTAAAGACTTTTTTTCTCAACTTTAGTAGATTTTATCAATTTTTGGCAATATGTAATTTTTGGTTAAATATGTGGCAACTTTCTAAAAGAAATCAATCAAACAAGATTTTTTTTTTTAATTTTCATTGATAAAAAAAACTTTGAACACAAGCTAAAAGAGTAATCACTAGACATGTTCTTTAAAATTAAGAGATTTAGTCAACCAATTAAACATATTTTTCATATGCTATACATTAATTCTTGAAGAACAAATAATAAGTATTAATTCGAGTTTAATACGTTGAATGCGGAATAAGATAATTTTATGATCTGTAAATTTATAAGAAGTGATTATAATACATGATAGATTTTTTACTACAACATTATTACTCCAAACAAAGTACTCACGCTAGTATACGCATTCAGTGATAACGTTATAAAAGCTCCACAAGTGACAAGGATTGGTGACGTTGTCCGGACCATCATAATCAGTAAAGATTTTAAAGTATCTGTATGTAGCAATGTCCAGTCAGAGTTACAAACTATTTTACTAAATTCCATGCTCTGACAAAAAATTTTATGGATACATAATTGTTGAGTTTTTAATTAAAAAATTATTAAAATTGTATTGGTATACCTTCATCGTAACTTCATTTCCGAACCAACAGTACAGAAACAAATCTTTTTGTAGTTCAATCGACAAGGGGGTGTAGTTGATACTAAATATCGTATAGTTTATTTTTTTGCTCTAAAATCGAAAAAATTTCAGTTATAAAAAAAAAATTAATATACATATATACATAAGTCATGTAAAGTCGTGAGGATAAGAAAAAATAATTAAATCACCTGAAGATGAACTTCATTCCCAAAGTAGCAGTAAACAAAAAGCTGTCCCAACATACAAATCAGGTAAAGCAAATACGTGCAAGATTCGACAACATTAGTCATATGAAGCGATAACTGATAAACACTAATGGAAATTTCAATTGCACTAACGCAAAACTGGCTAATGATAATTTCGCTAAAGACGGTACAAACTGATTTGGATATTCTGCCGTTAATTAATACAAAAACCACATGATTATTTTAAACTTTTCAAGACACTCTACTAAAAAACAATTGTAATAAACTCTACTTACTCGTAAATATTGACGTGGTGGTTGACACTCTGAGCCAGTAAAAGTTTCTCGATTCTTCGAGCTTTTTCCCACGAATCCGTTTCTCCAATCAATTCGGGAAATCTTGTAAGTCTGAATTGCAGCAAATCAAGTTGGGCACAAACGTGCAACATAAATCCAATTATTAGGGCGTCTGTGGTTATACTGATAGCCGCAAATATCGCAGCGTCAATAGCGTGATGAACAAAAGTTAGCCAGTAAAACAGAGGATTGGAGATGTCATAGGGTAAAAGCACTTNCAGCTAAAATTCACTAATCAACCGAGTCCCAGCTTGTAATCAAACTTTTACAATAAAACGTAGGATAAGACTCTTTTTTTTTATTATATTTGGATATTAAAGTGGAATCTAAGATTGGTACTACATCAATTAAGGGGCTCCATAACCTTATAACGCAATAAAGTGTTCTGTTCAACTCACTAGTACTCGATTTTTTTAAACTTTATGTTCGATGTACACCTACACTAGCAATGTAGACACATACAGGTATACAAATATACACGTCAACATGACAAATGTTGCGTTCTTCGGCTTCATTGAGGAAAGAAATTCATAATCATACATGAAGAAAAGATTACCTCGACATTTTATCATAATACGAGCAGAGTCGACGTTCTTCCATGTTTTTGGGAGTGAATTCTTTTTCCACCAATACATTAGCCAATTCATCGATGCGCTTTCTCCTCCATAGAAAGGTTACGCCTTTGACGCAGCCGTTAAAACTAGCCAGGAAAACATAACTGGCCTCGGCGAAATCGTCTATGTTTTCCGTTAAAAGTACAAGGGCTATTAACTCTGACAAAATCAGAAGGGACATTACTACGACATTGAAAAAGGTATAAATGTTGTATAAGCCTTTGGCGGGTCCCCATTTCCAATGCACTGGCCGCCAAAGTCCACAACCCGTTGCCAAGACAAATGCTTCGGAAAGTGTATGCATTTTTTTATTTATCTACTTGCTTCTCATATATTTGTTAGATAAAACACCATTTATGTAAATTTTTATATATTTTATATTCACTATTGCATGGTTTTTAACGACAATTTTTCACTTATTTTTTATCCTTTACACATTTATTAAAAAATAATACGACACAATACATTGACGTGAAACGAAGAAAAATTATTTCTATGTATATTTGTTTTGTATCGTACTGTAAGGATGGAAAAAAGCGTCTAACGTAGCTCTCCTGCACACAAACTTTACGAACCCCCTGTGCTTCTTTCTGACGCGAAGGCTGCTATTATCGTTATTAATACACAACCTGTGTATTCTTCTCTAATTGCATGTATTGGTTCTATTTTCAAATACATCTTTTCCCATCTAATGTGTGCGTAGGATGCGGACGCGTAGAGCTCGTTTTTTTTTTTTTTTTTTTTTTTTTTTTTTTTTTTTTTTTTTTACAGTACGTCGATAGCACATGGACTGAGTCATACTTAATTTTACGTTAATTTAAATTTTCAAAAGATAATCCATCAATCTCGTTATTTTAGTTCATTCATCACGTTTAATTATCTGAATGTGTCTGTACATATAAAATTCGTTATATAACTATATAATCGTGACAATGTATTATCTATTTAACAGTTTTACAGACTTTAAGTGGATCGTTGTAGAACACTAAATGCCGAGTAACTTAACTTAATCATCTGTTAGACAGATAAAAATTTTAGATGAGACTTTGAAAAAAGGTGTGCTTGCATATTAAGTAATCACTGACTTTCATGAAGGATTCCAACGAGAGTGTTATCAACGGACCGCACGAAAGTAGTATCGGGGAGGTCGAACGTATCATCATGATCAGCAATTCCTGGAGGCTCTTCGTATTCAACTCGGCCCAATTCATTTTGCTGACTGACAAACTGAATTCCAAGCTCTTTTCCGTGACCTCATTGCCGAACCAGCAGTACATGAAAAATTCCACTATCATGGAAATCAGGTACATTATCAGAAAAATAAGCTCGATGCCGTTGTTGTCCTTGAACGAGAGTAGATAAATGGTCGTGCACATGACGATGGAGCTCAAACAAAACTGCACGCCAATGACTGGCGCGAAAATTGAGTTTATGTCATCTGCAAGTCTAAAAAACAACATTTATACGTTGCGTTGTTATTTTAAGAAAAGAAAAAAAAAATATATATATATATGTATGTATATTTCATAATTCTTGACCAACTTGAAGATAAGTAGGTGATGTCGTACACTCTGGGTGATAATGTTCTTCTCGATTATCCGAGTGACCTGGGACGTTTCGCGGAGCACCGGTGTCCTGCGCGACAGCTTGTTCAGTCTGTAGGTCATGAGTTCGAGCTGAGCACACGCCTGGATCATGAAGCCAGTGATGATGTTGTCATTTGCCACGTCGTAGGCTGCAACCAGTCCAAGGCTTATTGCTTGGTGCAGGTAAGAGAGCCAGTATTTCCAGCCAGACTCGACTCCGAATGGATAATAGGCCATTATGGGCAATATGTGTTGGTCCCGTGCCAAGAGAAAGGGCCAAGCGGATAAACACCAGACCGTCGATTCGGCGAGGATGATTGTCGAAATCACGGTGTATCTAACATTATCATTAAAATAAAATTATTATGTTTTTTTTTTTTTTTTTTTTTTTGACGTTACATCAAAATGATACCTCAAATTGACTGTATGGGTATAAAAACTTTATGTTTCTCGAAAAATTTTATATGTACAGAAAAAAAAATTCTTTAAATCCCTTGTTTTATTTATGCCAATGGTCAAGTTATAAGATAGTATTAAAAATATACAGTATTTATATTGTAAAAAAATTTTTGTTCACCCAACAGAAATATTTTAAATCGTTCGTTAAGTCTTTCATTAAAGACCTTATTAAGGGATCTATTTAGATACTTAAGTTAAATATAGAAGCACTCCAACCCACACTAATACGTCCACAAATTTTCCCTAGAAATGTTTTTCTGAAATTCATTGGTAAATTTATATATAAATTAAGTACAAACTATATAGACGCTTCCGATCTAATACATCTAACGTCTGGTAAAGTCAGAATGACTCGTTTCGTCTAATACTATTTTTAAGTAAAAAAATTTCGTCTGTTACGTCTCTTGACTTAAGTTGATTAACGAAACGCAAAGTATATTTACATTACAAAGTAAATAATGTTGATCGAACTTTATTTATAAATTTCATATAGACTTCGTATTAAAATATATTGGATAGTTCTATAACAAAATCTTTTGGGTAAAAAATAGCTCGATAGTAATAATTAAGTTACACTATGTAGGGCTGAAACAAATACAGAACTAATAATGCCAAGCTTTCACCAGCTTATAATTAAATACATTTTTATCGAATGCACTTTTTAAATTGTTACTTTTTCCTAATTAATTCGAAAATAATGTTGAAATTTTAATAAATTCCATAAAAAACTAAGAAGCTTTTGCTCGATAAAAATTTGCTGATAAAATAACAGGGAGAAATTATAACAAAATGGGGTAAAAATTTAAGGAAGATAGAATATAGTAAACAAAAGGAGTGAGGCAAACATTCACAAGAGCTTAAAGATTATTTAAATAAATATATGAGTAGACAACACCGTAGTAATAAATTAAACTTTTTAACATTTTGTGCACCAAGAAATGAAAGACACCTTGAAATCTTGTCATAAGAAGTGCACAAGATTTTTTCTCCCAAACTGCTAGGCAAACACATTTCCTGTTGTAGCATACGAATGAGATTAAGTACGTGTTTTTTTCTCAAAATGATCGTTGCACCCTTGACGAAAGCATTGATTGTTGACAGCAGCATGTAAGTCGATTCAACAAAGTCGTCGACCGTTTTCACGATTATTATCGTTGCAGCCATTTGGATTACTAAGAACCAAGTAATCACAGAAAAAGTGAAACACGAATAAATTTTGTAAACATTTTTGACTAATCGAGAATTCCAATGGACTGGTTCCCATAGACCTATGCTGCTTGCTAATGTGAATGCTTCTGGCGATGTATGCATCATTTTTATAATTTTTATCTCACAACTGACTGATTTTTGTTTCAAAATTACATTTATTTCATTTTAACTATTTTCAATAATTTTTTTCACTTTTTTTTTTTTAATTATGTTTCTTACTAATTATTGCCGATCTTCACGACAAAAGGCTGTAAAAGTATCTGACGTTACTTTTTCTCTATGTCTTCACGCGATCCCCGTTCTTTTAAAGCGTTCGACTGCATAATTCATATAACGAGTGTTTCAATTACAGAGCAGCGCTTTACAATGATTACAGAGCTAAGAAGTCAATTTATAATTATTAAAACCTGTTTTGTTGGATGAACCTTAGTCTGCCAATCGATACCTAAATACTTGGCTTTTTTACAGCTGTAGCCTCAAACAGTCAAAGTGTAGAACAATGTTGGTTAGATGTATATTTGAATATTAATTTTTTTAAATATTATACATGTGATAAAAACTTCTTATAAAATCAAATAAGGTGTATTTAAAACTTAAACAAGCAGATAACGTTATGCAAAACACTGTCTTGCATGTAAGTCATGACTAATCGACATATTGTGTCTGAGCAAAAATTGCAACTTAAATACTGAATTTCATTTTAAGATTATTTTTTTAGCTTAACATCATAATCTAACAATTTTTACATCAATATTTTATCAATAAATGTGAGATAAAACTATTTTCGGTCACTTTTTAAACAATTTTTAATATTTCCTGTTCTAGGAGAACACCATAAATGAAAATGCTAAACACAAAAAAGTTTTAATAAAATACATATGTTTCGTGTTAAATATTTCGTCTGAGAGAGAAAAAAAAATTTATATGCTGTCAAACGAATTTTGGGCTGTTCTAAATCATTTTTATTTGTTTAAAGCATTAGGACAACAAAGTAGATAAAAATGGTCGGTTATAAAAAGTCTACAATTATTGTACTCAACATTTTGGCCAAAAATGTAACGAAAAAAGTTAGATGCTACAAAATGAATTTCTAGCTCGGCGAAAATCAGCGATTTTAAGTGCTCAAAACATGTATGAAAATAAAACTTTTTATTGAAAAAAAAAAAAANTGAAAATGATAGAGGATACACCAGTGAAAGTATTCATCTCGCCTCTGCACAAAGCTACTTGAAACCAGGTAAGACGACGCATTTTAAAAACTCAAATCTGTATCACATTATACGTAATAACTCTATAATCATACAAAATCTCTTTAAACGACTTGGTAACTAACTAGTTACATTACCACCTATACCTCTGATTTGCTTAATAATTCAGAATATTGTATAAAGATAGTATGCTGATTAATTACGTATACTTTTTTTGTGTCGAAAATAATTTTTTTGGTTTAAATTCTAAGTTCATAGTTATTTGTTTAATTTATTTATTTTTTTTTTTTATGTTAAAGAAGGCTTTTAGTTTTCATTTAAAACTCGATACGAAGACATATAATTTTTGTGAACAAATCAGAAATATGTGCACTATTATCAATGATTCATTATGGAAAATTAATACCCAACATACATTAACTATAAAAAAAACTAGTGTTCTGCACGTACAAGCTATTTGCCTCTTCTTAATACGCTAAATGCAGAATACGAGAGTTTGAGCACCTGAAATGATTTCTTTTATCATTAATAATATAACTAAGTTAAGCGTAAAAATACTACGTGCATATCAGCAAGTATGTACTTTCATAAATGTTTCTAATGACAGTACGATGAAAAATCCACTCGTTATTACAACTGGTTTTGACGAACGAAGCATTACTACAATGATATCTTTGTTTTTTACATCTAATGCTACCCAATTGGTTTTAAATATTGACTTGCCAAAACTTTCGCTCTGAAAAAGAAAGCAGAATGCCGTGGAGTTTGCACGAATATTTATTTTCATATGTTATTATTATATAAAGTAAATAAATCTTAACTTTCAGAGTCAATTCATTGCTGAACCAACAATAAAGAAAAAATTCCACCAACATGCACATCAAATAAAGCAAATTTGTAAGAAAACCCAGGTTGAAGGAGTTATTCATGGTCAGTTGATACACGCTCATCGAAATAACCAGGGAACTTGTGACGAACTGTCCCGATATGGCTATACTGAAAGTGTTTTTTATGGCATCGATGAATCTAAAAACAAAAAAACAAAAAAAACAGCAATTTAAAGCAATTAAAAAGTTGAAACTTTCAACATGATGTATTAAAAATATGCAGCCAGTGTTTCTTAAACTAATAGAAACTGTAGTGTCGGTGTAAAAAATCCTCAAGTACAGAACTACTCACTATGTTTAAACAGTGCAGGTATTACAAAAATATTATATATTTAACAATAAACCTCAAGGGTTCGATAAAAAAAATGTTCGAGTTTTTTTAATAGGAGAATTTATTATTTAATAATAAATTGTTAATTTTTGTAAAAGAGTATTTTTATCAATCATCCAGGGTGTTGAAAACTTACTGATTTAATTTCCAAAACGAATGAATTTTTTTTAAATGTACGAGCAAAATGGGGTAAAAATTTAAGGAAGATAGAATATAGTAAACAAAAGGAGTGAGGCAAACATTCACAAGAGCTTAAAGATTATTTAAATAAATATATGAGTAGACAACACCGTAGTAATAAATTAAACTTTTTAACATTTTGTGCACCAAGAAATGAAAGACACCTTGAAATCTTGTCATAAGAAGTGCACAAGATTTTTTCTCCCAAACTGCTAGGCAAACACATTTCCTGTTGTAGCATACGAATGAGATTAAGTACGTGTTTTTTTCTCAAAATGATCGTTGCACCCTTGACGAAAGCATTGATTGTTGACAGCAGCATGTAAGTCGATTCAACAAAGTCGTCGACCGTTTTCACGATTATTATCGTTGCAGCCATTTGGATTACTAAGAACCAAGTAATCACAGAAAAAGTGAAACACGAATAAATTTTGTAAACATTTTTGACTAATCGAGAATTCCAATGGACTGGTTCCCATAGACCTATGCTGCTTGCTAATGTGAATGCTTCTGGCGATGTATGCATCATTTTTATAATTTTTATCTCACAACTGACTGATTTTTGTTTCAAAATTACATTTATTTCATTTTAACTATTTTCAATAATTTTTTTCACTTTTTTTTTTTTAATTATGTTTCTTACTAATTATTGCCGATCTTCACGACAAAAGGCTGTAAAAGTATCTGACGTTACTTTTTCTCTATGTCTTCACGCGATCCCCGTTCTTTTAAAGCGTTCGACTGCATAATTCATATAACGAGTGTTTCAATTACAGAGCAGCGCTTTACAATGATTACAGAGCTAAGAAGTCAATTTATAATTATTAAAACCTGTTTTGTTGGATGAACCTTAGTCTGCCAATCGATACCTAAATACTTGGCTTTTTTACAGCTGTAGCCTCAAACAGTCAAAGTGTAGAACAATGTTGGTTAGATGTATATTTGAATATTAATTTTTTTAAATATTATACATGTGATAAAAACTTCTTATAAAATCAAATAAGGTGTATTTAAAACTTAAACAAGCAGATAACGTTATGCAAAACACTGTCTTGCATGTAAGTCATGACTAATCGACATATTGTGTCTGAGCAAAAATTGCAACTTAAATACTGAATTTCATTTTAAGATTATTTTTTTAGCTTAACATCATAATCTAACAATTTTTACATCAATATTTTATCAATAAATGTGAGATAAAACTATTTTCGGTCACTTTTTAAACAATTTTTAATATTTCCTGTTCTAGGAGAACACCATAAATGAAAATGCTAAACACAAAAAAGTTTTAATAAAATACATATGTTTCGTGTTAAATATTTCGTCTGAGAGAGAAAAAAAAATTTATATGCTGTCAAACGAATTTTGGGCTGTTCTAAATCATTTTTATTTGTTTAAAGCATTAGGACAACAAAGTAGATAAAAATGGTCGGTTATAAAAAGTCTACAATTATTGTACTCAACATTTTGGCCAAAAATGTAACGAAAAAAGTTAGATGCTACAAAATGAATTTCTAGCTCGGCGAAAATCAGCGATTTTAAGTGCTCAAAACATGTATGAAAATAAAACTTTTTATTGAAAAAAAAAAAAAAAGAAAATTTTGTTGTGCCAACCATGCATTTGAGCCAGGTTTTAACTTACCTATTTATCCCAAAGATTCGACATTTTTATCTCAGCCCTTCTATTCCGTATC